TGTGTGTGTGTGTGTGTGTGTGTGTGTGTGTGTGTGACTGACTCAGTGTGTCCCTGGAACACATTGACGGAGTGGATGGACGGGTCTCTGAAGTCCCACAGTCTGAAGGTGGTGTCTCTGGATGAAGTGACCACCAGGCGCTGGTTGGGGTGGGTGCAGCAGTGGGTCAGCTCCTGATCGTGGCCTGAACGAACACAAAGCCTCCRCAGGTCAGGATGAAACGTAGTTTTCTTTAGTTTTACAGTAAACCGAGCGTAGCCGTGAGGATACCAGTGAGCGAGTGAACCAGCTCTGAGGTCTCCACGTCGTAAAGGTTGGCGGCTCGATCCCAGGAGGCCGTCACCGCCTGTTTGCCCCCCACCAGCCAGTCGGCGGCGATCACCACGCCCTGGTGGCTGCGCAGCGTCGTGGTTGCCACGCGGATGGAGGGGCAGTCGATGGGACCCTCCACCTCGCCGTCGGCGTCGTCTTTATCCGAGAAGTCCACGTCGTCTTCGCAGGGCGTCTGCTGCGGGGGGAGGGGGGGTGAGTTCAGGTACAGGAACAGAGGAAACAGAGGCGGCGTTCAGGCTTACGCTGATGTCAGCGACGGGCTGGGGGGTCGGCAGCTGCACCATGTACCTCCAGATGTGAGCCGTCTGATCTCCAGAGGCTGGAGGGGAGAAAAGATCACATATAAAACAGATTCAAAGCCTTTGATGAAAAGATGAAAGGTTTTTACTCTCCTTCATTATTTCAGTTTTAAATATATTCATCTGTATATTTCCACAGAGGCACAAAACTGTTTGAATGTTCTCAGCTGAAGCAGAGATAAAAATCCTTTAAAACTATGAAGAAGATGGTGGAACAAGAACCTTTATTCTGATTAAACCTGTGAAAAGAAACAATATAATATATATTTTTTAATTCGTGGATCATTACCTGTTAGAGCCATCTGTTCAGTGGGGTGAAACTTTATGGAGTTGACTGCAGAGAAACAAAAATATATGTACATCACTGATATACACCAGTACTATATCCACACATWTGTGTATATATGAACAAATAAATGTTCTGAATATTTCAAAGTACCTGATCCTTGATGGCCCAGATATTTGAGGAGGCACTTTCCCGTCTCGATGCTCCACAGCATGGCAGTGTGGTCTGACAGGAGAAACCAACTAGTTAACATTTACACCTGTCCAATAATGTGACGCAGCATGCTACGGTCGTTTTTGACTTTGTTAAATTTATGAAAAATAAGGAGCATAAATATTTTAACTAAGCTAACTATCTTACAAAATGTATGGGTGAGAGCTACAGTGTTTCAAAGTGTTTGAAGTCACAGGGACAATAAATGAGGGGATAAACAGCTTAAGAAAAGTTACATTTAAGACTTTTTAATGACTCTTTTAACATAAAACAATTAGCTGCAAGAGGTATTCTGTAAATTATATATAAAACAAACAAAATTGAGACAAAACTGCTTAATATTTGAGACAAATTACAATCATCCTACTTACAAAGTGTTGACATTTTAAAGGGATCCACGATCAGTTGTAACATTAGACTTTATTTGATTAAGTCTGCTGTAAAATAAAGATCGTAAAAATACTGTAGGCTGTTTAGTTTTTATAATTTTTTTAAATATATTTTAACACGGACGGGGCCATTTTAAAATATAGATGGAGGATGTCATGGTCTAATTATTTATATCTGTTTCCCCTTGACACTGTCCATCACTCTTATCTTTCTGATAGCTCCGGACGACTCCAATGGACTGAACTCTAACAGACTCTTTGGGTTGGGAGCCTTGTGATTGGCTGGACAGTACATTTGGCAATCTGTTATTGGTTGTAAACTGTCACATGGTGTTGACACGATGTATATTATTGGCTGTATTCTGCTGACGTGTTCAGTCGCAAGCATGCAGAACTTCCTGATTCAGTTCTGTTTGTTTGTTGCTCATAATTAAACCATATTTGATTATCATATACGCAGACCCTTCTGGTATTATTCCAACGTGTTTCTGCTTTTGTGACCACAAGGACAACAGAGCTGCTTCATGGAAGAAGAACCTCAACTTAGCCTGTTAGTTTTAGTGCTGACGCTATATTGCCTTACACAAATTAGCTCAGCGCTAGCGCGACAAACAAGCTAAACTGCTAAATTGCTATTGTCTTTAGTCTCTTTTCTCTACATGTTTATTGTAATTATTTCTATCATGTTTTTTCTTTGTCTCTTCCAGAGGAAGGTGCACCTGGACCAGTCCTGGACCACTTCTTCTGTGTTTGTCTGTGTCTCTTTCCTGTCCCTCAACCAGCCAGTCGAGGCAGATGGTCTCCTGTCCTGAGCCTGGTTCTGCTGGAGGTTTCTTCCTGATTAGCAGGGAGTTTTTCCTCTCCACCGTTTGCTCAGGATGGGAGATTGTGATGAAGTGATTCAACACAATCTGCTGGTTTCTTCTTTACATTATTCTTTTTATGTACAGTGCCCTGAGACAACGTATGTTGTGACTTGATGCTATATAAATAAACTGAACTTGAACTTGAACTAAACTGTCCTCCATTCATATTTTCAGTTCCAGGCTGAGTCATTTCTACCTTCTCCTCTCTGTCAACGCTCTCTGGTTTCATTTAAAAGAGTCGATCATCAGATATTGTC